CCCCAAAAAAACCCCCCCCCCCCCCCGACTTCGCGCGCGCCCCACCAAGAGAAGGTCAAAATGTCAATTTCACCCCGTTGGTTTCTTGTCCTAGAATACGCAACAACGTGTGAGCAGTGTCTTAAATGAAATCAATTTTCTCTTCTCGAAAGACCATTTTAAAATTACACTGCAAGGGCATATTTAATACGCGCTGACGACGGAAGGTAAGCTTAAGTTTTTGTGAGTTTTTGTTTTTACAAATTTTATCCGGTGTTTGTTCACAACTCACAATAAGACGGCACTGTTCACGGGATATATCGAGTTACGATTGCTAAATATTTTTCGCCTTATCGAATGTTTTCGCAATTTTTTGCCATCTAAGCCATCTTACCTTATTATTTGAAGCATACAGACTTCGAAATAAATTTCAAAGCACTGCTCTTCCTCTGATGAGACTGGCCAGTAAGCAAAACAGCTGACAAAATCACTCGTGTCCACGATCGAGAATGGTAAAGCGAACAGTAGTTATTTTACGTAGGTAAATTATTAATAAACTATAACAGGAGGATCTGTTACCGAGGTATGGTTTTCAAACAATCCAGCAACAGAGACGTTATAAATTTCGTAAATTTCGATTGCTTCGGTCGATCTTTCGCGAATCAGGGTTTCGCTGCTATAATTATTTGAATTTGTAGTTGGTTTGAGCGTAAGCAACTTAACGATTATTTACACTCTCAATCGTCTTACCTTTTTTCCTGATTCTGTGTACTTTCCCTTAACTCCCTGTACATCGATCGCATCACTTTTGGCCTGGCGAAAACATTTAAAAGTTGATGAAGACGATAAACAACAGCAGCAGACTGCGATGCTTTGACATGACAGCGGCGACCAAGAAATGCGTTCGACGTCAGTTTTGGCGCGAAACTTGGACTCCCCAGTGGGTACTGCTCGGGTTTTTGCTGAGACTAAGGTGACCCCAAAAATTCGATCAATGTCGCTTTTTTTAAAGAAAAAGACAAGAATCAGCCACAGATCCACTATTCTATAAACCTTGTGACTGAAGCTGTCAACCCCAAACATCTGAATAACCCCGCAAAGTTTTATACTGTTTACCATTAATTTCCGGTTTGTGTTTTTTTATCCAAATTATCCGGCTTTCGAAATTGTTCTACAAAAGTGGAAAAGAGGTAAGGTTCTTAGCGCAAGACAACTAAATAATTGATTTTGTTAAATTATTATTTCGTTACTTACCGTGAATCCTCTCAAATAAGTCCCCTCGCCTCTAATAAGCCCCCCCCC